CCAGGAAGATTAGAAAAACATTATTTTAAATGAAGAGTAGACGAAAAATTAAAAAGACTGGAAGATGCCAAATAAAAGAAGAAGATATACACTAAGCATACATTAAGTACCATGTTACCTTTGCATAGTAAAGGTCAGACTAGCAAGGTATATAAAGGAGGATATTCGTAAAATACATGTTAGTGTAGGTCTGCAGTTATTATAGTGTATTAATTACAATCCGTATTCAATGGCAAGCAATGCAGGTGTATGGGGTGGGTTTTCAAATGCCACATTGAGCTCCTGAAGCCAAACAAATACTGGCTAAATTCATACATGCTGCTGAGCCACAAGCAAATTACTACATGGCATGATTTATATGTGAACCCAAGCAATTTTGGCAAAGATCACTCAGCTGCCAATTCTTACTCTTTTTCAATACCTAAGGGTAAAAAGTTCAAAAGCAAATTAAAAATGGAAGCCCAGGCCATGATCATTTTTTACGGGGGAGTCAAAGAGCTATATAATATTTCTCCAGGATCTCTAAGTAGGCATAAGGTATAAAACTGAAGTTAGAGCAAATATAATATTTAATTTGTGAAATGTGTCAATTCAACTGTTTTAAATTTTAAAACTGAATGTATTTCAATTCATTCATGAAGAATTCTCAATACTGTATCACTCCATGATATGTTGCAAAAAGGCAACGCTTAGTTTTGTTTGTGCAATGCTTCGTTATGAATACTGTGGTCCAGTCATTTCCAACTCAGTGCTTCTACTCATACAATTGGGCAAAGCATAATGTTTTAATTCCTGGCCTCTTTGGTGAGTCAGCAAAGTTAATATGGCTCCATCATCCATGAACTTTTAGGGTAGCACATAAGCCAGGACACAGGATTATTCCAAATTCCTGATTCAGAAGTAACAACCCTTGGAGAGTTACTATGGTTGAATGAGTGGTTACTCTTACTCATAGAATGAATTTGTGAGAATGATCTGAAAAGCATGCAGCTGTTGGTCATTAGTAACAAATTGCCACACAAAAGTAGCCAATACCTTTCAATCAACCTGAACTGAAAACTGAATTAAAATGAAACAATTTAGAGTAAAATTGTTACAGCCACATCCAGAAGACATTGCTTGTATATTTATGACATGCTAGGATTTAGCTGTTGCCCTTCCTACCTCCGCTAGAATACCAAATTACCACAAATAGAATCCTGCATGGAAGAATTCTTTTTTAGTAGCTGAGTTAATTAAAATCGTGGCAATTGTTTCCAGTCTAGCCTATTGTTGGTCCTTGTTTTGCCGCACTTTGCTAACTTGGAAAATAGGCAGTCTTAAAGGCTTGATTTTTCAAGGGAAAAAAAACATTATCACAAAAAGCACTCTCGAAAAATCTTAGCAATTCAAAATGGAGAAGGAAAACAAATTTGAAATCCTAAAGTAAAACTTTTGACAAATATTCACAGGGGAAAAAAAAATCAATCCCAGAAAACTGTATACTCTACAATATGATCCTAAGTCAGTTTGATACAAAAGTGAATGCATTATGAACTCCACCCAATGCTGCTCTGCCTGGTCTAAAAATATCAGGCAATGCTGTCATCCTGTGCTATCCCGTAATTTTGGCAACAGTAGGAACAGCCAGTTTCCAATTATCTTTCTTGAATCTTATGAATGTAATGGCCTTCAGAAAAGCACAGAGAAAATCTCAAATAACGGAAAGCCTATAGTATATTATGCCCACAAAATTGTTTACCAACTTATCCCTGGCCCTTGATGAGCGGTTTTTCAGGACCATGTACTGTATAGTCCCATCCCTAAATTCTTATTGCTTCTCTGGAATGAAAAGGGGAAAAAAAAAACTGGAGTTTCTGCAAAGCAATAGAAGAGACGGCTGACTTTATCTTTACACATACAACTGTGTGACCAATGAGAGAAAATTTTAGCAAACCTGTATATTCTAAGGAGAGGGTTGGGGACAAGCATAAATAATGGCCAGCTAATGAACCAAGTCACACTTACAAAATATAATATAAAATATAATAATTGGTTCACCTCTTTCAGTGTTTTTCTCCAGCACTGACATGTATGCTTTTGAATGAACGTTGCCGGCAAATCATGCTACAACTGATGCTACAATACGAGATAATCAACATTATTGTGGTTTTCCTAAATGGCTTTGTATTACAACCACAATATTTTTTGCTTTACTCTTCGCTTTACTGTAAATGTACAGATTTAAGTTATCTTCATAAATTATAAATATGTATTATGTACTAATGTTCATGTATCTTGGTTTTAGTTTTGAAGAATAAATAGTGGCTCCATTTGTTTATTCTGCTAAAAATCCTGTTGTGAGGGAGGGAGGGAGGGAGGGAGGGAAGGAAGGAAGGAAGGAAGGAAGGAAGGAAGGAAGGAAGGAAGGAAGGAAGGAAGGAAGGAAGGAAGGAAGGAAGGAAGGAAGGCTAACTCTAAGCCAAGAGGTAAACTATATGCATTTTTCTTTTCTAGTACCTCATTCTACTTTCATGCTGTGAAAAATGAAGTGACAAAAGTATTTTTGCCAACAGCATTGCTTACTGGAGGAAATGAAATATGAGGATTTTTGCCAGTCAAAATGCTGTTTAAATCTAAGCAGCAGAAGTCAATCTAATGCTTAGTCTTCTTGGAAATGTACCTGAGCATTCTTTGATAGGAATTTGATAATCATGGCTGCATCCTCCCTTAGCATTTTTGGCCAATGATTACAGTATTAAACTGCACGCCACAGGAAGTTTGTAGTCCTCTTAAAAATCATACCATATACGATCAAGTACTATGCTACTTACAATATTTCAGACATTTTTGTCAAACCCAAACTGGCCCCAAACCTAAGCCACATCTTATGTAAAAATGTCAGCCAGTTTTTATTTGGAATACGAATAACATCTTCAGAGTACCCTTAAATTGGATAAATAATATTGCCATGGGGAATCCCCAAGATTTTATTAAGGACCTCTACAACTACTTTCTTTTTTTTTTCATAATCATAGAAATCAATTTCCTCTCCCAATATCTTGATTTGAAGACTTGCTTGCTTACTTCAAAGCATTGGCTATTATTCCAAAGTAAAAGAGTCACGTAAGCTTGTCACAGGATACTAAGTTCTAATCTGGGTGGGAAAAGTAACTTTGGAAAGCACTTTGACAAGAAAAACAATGTGCAGTGTCTGGTTTGATTCCCAGATGGTAGTTGTTTACAGCATCTCTGCTTTTGACAGGAGAAAATAAATGAATGATAAGAGCTTCATCAGACGCTATGATGAGATCGCTAGCATATCAGATTGGACAATGTGAAGCTCTCTGTGAATTTATTTCAGAAACTATTTTAGTGATAGAGCTGTAGCCATCACTTTTCCTGGCTTCTTTCTTAATTCACTTTTCCCTTCAGGCCTTTTCCCACTTGCACCTAACAATGATACAACCATGCCTTCTTGGCAATGTCTTTTTTCTACTGTCCCCTGATGATGATTTTGCTTTTCTCTCATTGGCAGTCCTAAACCTTAGCTCAGGGGGTCTTCAAACTTGGCCCTTTTATGACTGGTGGACTTCATTCAACTCCCAGAATTCCTCAGCCAGTGTGCCTGGCTGAGGAATTCTGGGAGTTGAAGTCCACGAGTCATAAAAGGGCCAAGTTTGAAGACCCCTGGCCAAGAGCATCCAGCAGCAACCACAATGTGTATGTAACACTTGTCCTGCTTTGCCACCATTTGTATCAGGGATGAAGTGAGATGACCAGTAGTGGGTGGGGTTAGAGTTCTCATTGGCTGTTTCAGGCTAATATGGGCATATTCCTCCCCTCCATCCCGGGCCAGCCTTGTCTGCTGCCATTCTGCTTTGTCTGCCTTAAGCAGAGTGTTGTGCTGGTGGTTTGGCAGTTTGCAAAAGCAACAGACTCTTTAGCCAGCAGTGCTGTTATTACTTTAATTCTATGACCCTTACCAGTTTAGCACAAGACTGAGATAGGAAAACAGTGGAATGAGTGAGCAACCCTTCCTCATTGCCTCCCTAACCGAGCATGAAGTCATCGTTTATTATCTATATAAAGAAAACAGAGGAGGAGAAGGGGAAAGAAATCTTAAACAAAAGAGCAGCAGTTCATTATCCTTTGCAATTATGATATTTTAAAAAAATAAACCTAGTCAGCTTAAGTTGCAACAGAATGATGTGTTAAGAGGAATGACACAGGAAGGAGCTTAAAAAGATGGACTGAGTTCTGCAGCTAGACCTGCCCACTTCTGCTTTGGCGCTGTGACTGTCAGATAGCGTCCCCGATGGTTGGCGATACACAGAAGAGAAAGGATAGCAAAGCCAGAGGGATCAGCCAATCTCCTTGCTTATCATGCACTCCACATGGAAAATCAGGACTAAACCGTTCAGCAGTGCATCAAAACAAGACTGTTTAGAGACAGAATAAAGGTTGGCAATGTGAACAGTAAATGTTGTTCTAGTATAGTGGTTTGGTTTGCTTGTTTGTTTGTTTGCCAACTTAAGGATGGGTTGATAGCACTTTAGTGCAATAGTTTACCCCATAATGATGCGAGTTGGAACTAACACCACACAAACAAAATCCCATGCGGTAATTCTCCCCCCTCCCCCCGGAAATTATAAAACAATCACTAAGTGGGAGGAGCCACGAAGAAAACAGTTTTCTGAAAAGTTTCAACATGCATCCGGAGCTAAGAGTGGGTAGGGTTTGGGAGTAAACTACATCTCTCAATATAGTATGCCTATAAAACACAACGGAGAAGATTGAAATTAAATCAGCCTTTAGTTATTTCTATAGGAAGCTCTTTTTATCATATACAATTATATGTTGCATATGTTGTATATGGTGTAATCTAACCCTTACGTTGGGTTCGGATGTTTGCTGTAAAAGCTGTACTTGTCTTCTCTTTAAAAGCTATATTTACACATTGTCAAGTATAGTACCGAATGCAACAGACTAAACATTGCTAACCTGCTGTGCCCATTTTCCCCTCTTTGCATAAATCCTTCAGCCTGGAACCCAACTCTGTGATGAAGCTTGCTTAGCACCAGTGAAGTTTCCCACATTCAGTGTAACAACGTTCTGGGCTGAGATGAGGGAATCAAAATTAAAATCCAATCCATCTGCATCCATGAGTTCACTGCGGATAATGGACTCCATGTCGCATTCCAAGCTCCCGTTGAAAATATCCAGATCCAAATCACTGGGGAATTTATCGTGCCCCATGACTGGAAGGCTCACACTGTTGGAATACAAAGAAGAGCCCGATAGGGAGTCAGAAAGTGATTGCATAGACTGGTTGGCAGGTGGCTGTTGCTGGTGTTTTGCTGATCCAATGTTGGTGTCACTTAAGCCCATAGTACCGGCAGAATTTGACAAGGCACGGCTGCCACTGAGAGAGGAATTCTGGGATTGATGCTGGTGGTGGAGCAGATTCTGATTGGTCAAACTGCTCTGACTTGGTTGAGCAGCAAATGACATCATCGGATCGTTCCGAAGCATAATATTCCTGCGTGCGTTTTGGGCAGACACAGCAGTGCTAGCTTGTGACATGAGCGGATCAGACTGAGTCATCATGACATCACTGTGGCTATGTGAATCTGATGCCAGCAGATCCTGCAGAGTTTGGTTATTGTAGTGCGAAATGGAAGAAAATGTAGCTTGCTTGTTCTCTTGGATGGTTTGCATGGGAGACTGACGGAGACAATTCAGCGATGATGGTCCAAACACAGCATTGTTGAAACTACTGGATGGAGAACCAAGCCCTGAACCTTTGGAGCCGTATGGAAAGCTTGAGCTTCTCTGCATGAGTCCTCCTGGGGGTGACTGCTGGGAAGAGGGAAGGGTTATATTGTCCAGGAGGTCATCCATAAGGTTATCTGTCAAGCCATCATTCAAGTTCATCGTGCCTGCCATGTCAGTCAACCTAGGCAGCTCAACATTACAGGGCTTGCTCACTGACGGGGACATGCTGGGTGAGCTACTGTACAACATGGGAGAAAGTGGAGCATCGTCGTCCTGCACCTCATCTAGCTCAGTACTTGCCAATATTGGGGACAAGCGGCCACTTATTGTACTGGCATTCGAGTTGGTACGAGACCGGAAATCTGTCCATGCATCCAGTTCGTCACTGCTACGGGAGGTTGGGCTACCAGGCCACTTGGATAGCTGGGCGGGGCTGTCATCACTTGTCTCCTGTGCAACTTGGAGGGCTGCTTTTTTCTTAGCTGCTCGTCCTCGGCTCTTTGTGTATTTGTTGCTGTTGTCCATTGATACCGCACGTCTGCGGGGTGCTTTCCCTCCTTTCCCACCATCGGGGTTGATCATCCACCACGAGCTTTTCCCAGTTCCTTCATTCTGTACCCTGATGAATCGACTGTGAAGGGACAAGTTGTGTCTGATTGAGTTCTGCAAAGACAACACACAAAATCCCCCAAATTTAGAATGTGTCAAGTAAATACTGTTATTCAATATAATACTTAAGACATACAAAACATAAAGGGAAAAAAAACTTCCATTATTGCTATTACTTCTCTAGTTTTTAATAGGTTGTTCAGACACTAGAGTACACCATAGCATTCTGTACAGGAATCATTATAAAATTCAAGGTATTTCTGCACGGTATGAATATAATGAATACACGGATAATCCCTTTCCTGAGAAAGAGAATTTAGTACTGATGCTACTGTTGTAAGCACATAGCTTTGGTGATTTAGTGCAGTTTTCTAAACAAATTCTCTTAAATTATGTTCAATAGCTATAAGAGAATCTCTATCTTTGATTTTAAAAGCCTCCCATTAAAATAGTTGCCAAAGTAATCAGACGCATAGAAAATCAGGATAATTAACATAGATATTCTAGGATCCTAAGCACTTATAGTCAAGAACCAGTTCTACAACTCACTTGTTTCTAAATCATAGTGTACAAACTGAAAGTACAAAGTAAAACCTGTTTGACATGTTGTAACCTAATGATCTTCTGTAAATAGCAACAACGACATTTATTAGTTTTTTTCTCATCTTCTCTTTTCCTTTAGTGGCATCTGAGCAAGCTAATATTCTAGCCTGCTGTAAGTTTCCAAAGAGAAAAAACAATTATATATCGCACAGTCACCAACTGTGTGGTTTTTACTAGTGGATATGAAAAAGTCGAGCAAACCAAATTCTAGTCAATTGCCGTAAGAAATGCAAGAAATCAAAAGACCACTGACAGGAGAAAACCCATGGCCCCAAAATCAGCATGCCATTTAGGGTCATGCTAGAATGAACTGATGGTTGCAAGAGACATGTGCTGCTAGTGTAAAAGCTATTTCCAGCTATTCCATTGAGGTGTACTTTAGCTTATTGGGACTAAAAAAAAGTGGAGGGGAAGGACTTCCAGATAAGGCTTTTATTGTCAAAACATCAAACCACAGTCTCAGAATTTTTCAGAGAACTGACTGAAAGATTTCTTCCAATAATAAACCTCCTGCACATTCCTACCATTTCTTCTACATATTGTAATTACCATATCAGAAAAAAATAAATAAAGGGAAAGGCAGAATAAGTTGGGAAAGGTGGCAAAGGCAGAGTGCCTTGTGGTTGTTACTGCTACAAGCCTTTGTCTGGATACACTCAAAAAAAAAAGGTGAGACTGGTAGGATTACAGCCTATACCACTGATGGCAAACCTTTTAGAGACCGAGTGCCCAAACTGCAACCCAAAACCCACTTATGTATCGTCGGGTGCCGGGTGGGCGTGGCCCATTAGGTGGACATGGCCCATTGGGTGGGCGTGTCTGTGGTGGTCATAACAGATTAGGTGGGTGTGGCTCGGGTGGGCGTGGCCACCTCGATGTTGCTCATGGGGAGGGACGCCTGTGGGGTGGGGCAGGGTTGGGGAAGATCCAGGGGGTCTCTGGCGGGTGGGACGGTGGGCACGAGGCTTGTCCTGTGGGGTGAGGTGAGGCAGGGCAGGAGTGCCATTGCTGCAGGGCAAGGCAAGGCGAGGCAGAGGCTGGGGTGGCTACTGCCTGACACCATCGGCCCACAAACACAGTAAGCGCATGGGGGCCAACTGTGTCCATCAGCAGCCACAGCCTGCTGGCCCCTCGGTTTTGGCACAACGTGGCTGTTTGCCGCCGGCCGTGGCCATTTGCCGTGTTGTGCGTCACACCCAATGCCACTGCCATGAGGCCGTGGAACAAGCCGGGCAGAGGTAAGGAACCGGTATACCAGTTTGTTACCACCGCCCGGCTTGTTCCGCGGCCTCATGGCAGTGGCATTGGGCAGGAGGCGGCAAACAGCCGGTTTTGGTGCGACATGGCTATTTGCTGCTGGCTGCAGCTATTTGCTGCCTTGCGCATCGCACCCACCGTCGTCACAAATCTTTCCAGAAGCTCACCGCAAAGGACGCCCGGCACGAAGGACGCCAACACAACTCCCAGGAGCCAGAGGGGCACCTCATGGCTGCGGCATTGGGCAGGAAGCGGCAAACGGCTGGTTTCGGCATGACATGGCTATTTGCTGCCTCGAGTATTGTGCCCAATGCTGCTGCAATGCGGCTCAGCCGAAAGCGGCCGTGGAACAAGTGGGGCAGGTTTCCCCCTCACCTGCCCATTCAGCTACAGCTTTGGTGGCTCTGTAGGCAGAGCTGTGAAGTTCTCTTCTCTGTCAGAACCACAAAAGCAGCAGGTGGAGTGCCGGAGGCTCGGGGAGGAAGGGCGCTGAAGTGGGCGGTCGGGCCATTGGCAAGAGCAATGCGTCTGAGTGGAAAGCAGCCTCGGAACAAGTGGGGCAGGTAAGGAAAGAAATCCTCACTCCCCCCCAGAAATTGCCTTTCTTTCCTTACCTGACTTCCAGCCCCATGCCGTTTCTCCTTCGCAAACCGCTGCCGCGTGCAAGGAAACAAAGGAAGGTTTTTTTGGGGGAAAAAGGTCAATCAATCAATTCCAACTTCGCGATCTTTCACGAGAAGTTGGAATTGATTGATTGACCTTTCCCCCCCAAAAAAACCTTCCTTTGTTTCCTTGCACGTGCCGGTGGCGGATTGTGAAGGAGAAATGGCACGGGGCTGGGAATCAGGTAAGGAAAGAAAGGCGATTTCTGGGGGAGGGGTGAGGATTTCTTTCCTTACCTGCCCCACTTGTTCCGAGGCCGCTTTCCGCTCAGATGCATTGCTCTTGCCAATGGCCTGACCACCCATTTCAGCGCCCCCCCTCCCTGAGCCTCCGGCACTCCACCTGCTGCTTTGGTCGGCCTGCCAGCCCCTACCTCAACACCCTGCCCACCGCCGCCCAGCAGGGCCACCCCAGGGCTGCAGGGGCTGGCCTGGCATGGGAAGGGCACGCGCCCCACCCTCCCGCCACCATGCAGGGTAAGGTTGCTGCGCCCACCCCCACCCAGAGGCCCTCGCCTCCCCCAAGCATTTTTTTACTAACCTGCCTTTCAGCTGCATTCCGTTTTTTCATTTGCTTCTCAGCCTTTGCCGCGTGTTTGTGGGACTATCGGTAAAAAAAAAAAGAAGTTCCATCAGACTTTCTAACTTCTTGAGATCTCGCGAGAAGTTAGAAAGCTTGATGGAACTTTTTTTTTTAACCAATAGTCCCACAAACACGTGGCGAAGGCTGAAAAGCGAATGGAGAAATGGAATGCAGCTGAAAGGCAGGTTAGTAAAAAAAAACGCTTGGGGAGGCGGGGCAGGGGCAGCAACCTTACCCTGCACGGGTATTGATGCAGGTTGCTCATGGACGGGACTGAAGGCCTAGGACTGGGGCGATGGCTCTGCGTGCTGCCTGTGGCACGTGTGCCATAGTTCATCACCATGGGCCTATACCTACAACCTATACCTCAAATATAGTCCAATTGTGCAAAGCAAAGCTCGTTCTTTACAAAGTGCAGAGAAATTGGATATGTCTAGTTTAACGAAGAGAAGGACGAGGGGGGACATGATAGCAGTGTTCCAATATCTTAGGGGCTGCCACAAAGAAGAGGGAGTCAAGCTATTTTCCAAAGCGCCTGAAGGCAGGACAAGAAGCAACGGGTGGAAACTAACCAAAGAGAGAAGCAACCTAGAACTAAGGAGAAACTTCCTGACAGAACAATTAGCCAGTGGAACAACCTGCCTCCAGAAGCGGTGAATGCGCCAACACTGGAAGTTTTTAAGAAGAAACTGGACAGCCATTTGTCCGAAATGGTATAGGGTTTCCTGCCTGAGCAGGAGGTTGGACTAGATGACCTCCGAGGTCCCTTCCAACTTTATCATCATTATTATTATGCAAAATTGGAAAAGATTGTCTTTTCAGATGGCTAAAGCAGCCGTGTCATTTGCAAGTCCTGGATGGCTGCTTCCGAAGTTAGTCCTTGTTACTTTAACAATTAAAATGAGCAGCTTTGTATGTGCATGTCAAAACCTTAAAGTATTTTGGAGATAAGAACCTTGGGGAAACCACAATATGACCCAGTTCGTTTAAATGTGAGGAGGTACTTAAAAACCACTGGCAGATGTGGACCATATCAATGTGGAAAAGTGAAATGCTTTTGGAAATATGTTTTGAAAACAGAATAGTAAGAATTCACAGATTGTTCATTTTGTAAAACAAACAAACAAATACTATTGTATAATGTACAATGGGGATTGTCATTCAAGCTCAGTGATTCACATTGGCATCTCTACGTCTGACATAAAGAAGCAGGATGACATTAAGCTAATGAAAAACATCTGGGGTGTGCAAAGACATGCAGTCTACGTGCTTTTTATTCATTGTTTAAGTACATAAAAATGTTTTGTCTAAGGCCAGCTCCAGTAAAGAAAAAAATAGTAATAAAATTCAAAGCCAGGGTTTTCTCTCTTAATCACAACAGATATATACTGTTGTATGCTGCCTAGAATCATTTTTTCATAAGATGGGCAGCCACGTAAATTTGACAAACAAACAAATAAATAAAATAAACTATCCCTTTAAGCAAATATAAATACATACCGAATGCCACTCTCCCTTTGTAAGTATAAATAAAGTAAAGGGCTCTGGAGTGTTTTTTTCACTTTGCCAGTTTATGGCTTTGATTCCAAGCTCTGCAAATACTCTAATGGGTGCATACAGATTTTCTATGAGTGAGCTTTTTTTTTTTAACCAGAAGGATTATAGCCCTACCTCCATCTATATATAAGCTCACAAAACCTTTCAGATGTCTGTAGTAGGTTATAATAATAAAACAATAAAAGTAATAACAATCATCTGTGCATTGTGTCAGAGGGATTTACACTGCTCAGAACAGAGACTTTGATGAAAATTTTATACAATTTACTGAATTTTGGAGCATTAATATAACTGCGTGTCAAAGTGTCAGGCTTTTACCCAACAAATATTCAAACTGAGACACACAGTTCAAATGCATTTAGCATGAGTAACAAAAAGCAAGCTATACCAACCGTAAGATTTGAACTTTACCTAAAGCCAACCCCCTATCTATCAAATCCTGTGTTTTGGTTATGGGTGGAGAACTACTTTTTCTCAGTGGAGAAGAAAGTTAACACCTTATAGTAATAAACCAGTCTAACTTTAGTAGCTTTGATTACGGTTTTGTCCAATTTCTTCCTCACACAAAAGTAACTAGCGGTAAAAACATTTCACATTCATTTTCTTACTTCACAGTAATTGTTACTTAAGTTGTTTCTTGCTGATGGGCAATAGTAGGTGATTGTTGAACGAATTAATTCCTAATGTACACTGCCTTCCCCTGCATTTATAACTACTGAAAACCAACCCGAGTCAATCTGAATGAACACTATTAGTTCCCTTTCAAGCTAAATATCGCCTCCACTATTTCATGTAAAGTTCCTGCATTTCAACATTCAAGTGCAACATTCCTTCCTGAGTTCAAACCTGTCCCATAGATCAGAAGCCCTAGGGTTCCCTCTCTGCCATGCTTCCAAGCATGGTGTGTTTAGCATAATTTCTAGGGCCAATATGCACATATTGTGTTATGTCAACAACAGCCACCAAGCGGCCTAAGCAATACTGGGAACCTGAACAATCTGCCTCCAGAAGTTGTGAATTCTCGAACACTGGACGTTTTTAAGAGGAGACTGGACAGCCATTTGTCTGAAATGGTATAGGGCAGTGGTGGTGAACCTATGGCACGCGTGCCAGAGGTGGCACTCAGAGCCCTCTCTGTTGACACGTGCGCCACCGCCACCCGGAGCAAGAGCCCCGCCCAGCACAAAGGAGGCAAAGCAGCCGACTAGCAAGCTTGAGTAGAGGTGATAGAGCAGAGGTCACCAACCATTGTTGACTGGTGGACTGGAAGAAAAGGGAGAGGAAAGCATTTTACATGTGTGCATGTGTGCACGGGGCAGTGAGCATGGACGTGCTATAAATTGAGTGGGGCTAGTGCTTGCGTGATACTCACTAGCCCTGTCCCGTTCTTCCGTGGTGCAGCGCCTTGTATCTGCACCCTGCGGGGTGGCGGCAGCCATTTTTGTGCCTTGCAGCACGGTGGCCCATTTTTGCGCATCTGGTTTTTGTGTGCCAGAGGCGGCACTCAGAGGGGCCTCCCTGCCCCCCTGAGGGCACCACAATGCTGATGCGGCCCTGGCACTTTGTGCTAAATAAGTAGGTTTTGGGTTGCGGTTTGGGCACTCGGTCTCTAAAAGGTTCGCCATCACTGGTTTGGGTTTCCTGCCTGAGCAGGGGGTTGGACTAGATGACCTCCATGGTCACCTCCAACTATTATTATTATTATTATTATTATTATTATTATTATTCCTCTAAAATTGTCATTTGCAACTGAGGAATGCTTCGCTGGTACCAATGAAGATTTCCTTTGAAATATAAACTGAAGTGTTGCAGAAGACATGTTAGATAAAAGGGTAGCAAAAAGAAAAAGTTATACATGTTAATTATACATGTTATGAGCTGTGGTGGCGCAGCGGTTGGAATGCAGTATAGCAGGCTAATTCTGCTGACTACTGGGAGTTCAATTCTCACCAATTCTCAAGGTTGACTCAGCCTTCTATCCTTCTGAGGTCGGTAAAATGAGGACCCAGATTGTTAGGGGCAACAGGCTGACTCTGTAAACCGCTTAGAGAGGGCTGTAAAGCACTGTGAAGCGGTATATAAGCCCAAATGCTATGATTAAGTGCTATTGCGAATGACATTCCCAGAGGAAACATATGTCCATTCTCCCAATCGTAAGGAATACACCTTAGTAGTGGAATTACCTATCCTGTTACAAATAATGAAATGTATGCACTATATATGCCTTGCCGCGTTTGTTCACAAGTTTTATAAGGACAGTGGAAGACCAAGGAATATGTTCTACTCAGGCTGTTTCCAGTTTTGCTGACTTGATTACAATCACCATTCCTCATATTTCAGAATTCTATTTGCAAGTGTTTCACTTGTTTGTTCTATTTCTTTAGTTAAGGAACATCGGCAGATCCTTTTCTACAAAAAATTTCCCCACTCTTCTAAGCTCAGTTTCTGTTTCAGTCTCTTCCATGCTGTGTTTACCTTATGGGACTTGCCCATTAATTCAGACACCAGCTGCATGCACCTCGCCCGGAGTACAGAGGCTTTTTGTCTGGAAGGGACATGTGGTATCAATTTATCACTCTCCACAACACAACAAGGAATCCATTTGCTGAGGGGGGGAGGGAAGAACTGTGTGACTTCTCTTAAAAGCACCATCCCCCCCGCCCAATATTTTTAAAAATAAACCTACAGATTAGCAAGATGAGATACAGCTGGTGGATATGGAATCCTTGTTATATGACTGACTGCAAATTTAATACCTCAGTCCATTTGCAATGCAAAAGAAAGAGTTCCAGTGTGCCTCTATATTCCACAACTAGAGACAAGCAATTAAAATAAGTTCTTGCAATATATCTTTTCACAATACATGATTTGGAAGTGATTAATAGTCGGGAGCAGTTTCTGATTAGTTACTCCGAGTGCTTGCTTTAGCCTCCTTCAATGGCTTTCTGAGCTGAAAAGCAGGGCAAAAGTAACTTACAAGCACTAAAAAAAAAAAAAATCCTTAGTGGGCTTGTATTCCAAATGAATTGTGCAGCAGTATGCATCTTTATTATGGAAATTATTTTACTCAGTGCTTTTTTTCTAAAAAAAAAAAAAAAAAAAAGGTGCCGGAACTCACCCATGTCATACAACCCGCCTTGCCTACCCTACAAGGTTCCATCCAAAA